ATTAAAAAAAAAATCATCGACAACAATAAAAAAAATTGTAACATCTCAACGTTATTTAACAAAAATTGGTTAGTCTATACGTAATGATAGAAATGAATAGTTTAAATAAACTAAATAATTTTTTTTTTTTAAATGTAAGGATGAATTATAAAATTAAAAAACAATATAAATGATTAGTTTAGAAAAGCGAAAATAAAAATACCTTTAAAATCATATTCAATAACCTTAATATGAAATATTGAGGTAATATTTGAGTGATAAAAAAAAATTATAAAAGAAACAAACAAAATAATAATATGAAATAATAAAAAGTAAATTTGGCAGGAGTCAAACCAAGCCTAGAGTATTCTAGTAAACCCGGATTGCCAGTCTGACAGACCGGTATATACAACAAAATTCTTAATGTTATTTATAAGTTTTACTAGTTTCAGACCCGAGTTTTTTTATCTTATGAACTGAAAATCGAACCAAGTCACTTCAGATTTAGAAAAAACAACCCAACCCAACCCAACCCAAAAAACTAATCCAACCCAACCCTTATCATTCAGGTTGGGTTGCTCTGGGTTGTCCGGTTGGATGTACACCCCTACTCTTCTCTGATTCTTTTAGCCTCTTCTCTCTCTCCTTCTCTCTCACCCATACAAACTTTTGTCTTACTCTCTCAGCCCCTTCTCTCACAGCCTCACCTCACTGAGTTTTTCTCTCTTTCGGAGCCTCACACCAAAATACAAACATTCAGCCAAAATACAAATTTCTCTTGATACTTAGTCTCTCACAAGGAATTTGATCTCAATAGCATTCTCTCGTGTTCTTTGTCTTGTTTCTCTCTCGCGCACCATCTTTCTCTCTTTAGTCTCCTGGAAGGCCATAATGGTAAGCTTTTGCTCTTTTTGTTATATCCCCTTCCAAAGACCGATTGTATATTTTACCTTTGATGCATTCTATGGTAATTATTCATATTGAGTTGAATGTTTGAATCATAATAGTTCTATTATACTTTTTATGTATGGAAAACAATAGTCTAACTGTATGTCCAAGTAGCTCTAGTAATTATAATGCATGGAAGACACCATTAGCTGCACAATATGAATTTAAGCAAGAAGAAACCCAGTAAATCAATCTGTGTGAGATCAGGTTACAAGATTAGAGAACAATAATAAGAGTCATAAGAGAACTGATTATCTTTATTGAATGATAACTACAATTTTTATAAAGCATTACAAAACAGAATAACAAACAAACGGAATAAAAAACAAATGAACTCCTACAAATTAGCTATTTGAAAACAAATAGAAAATTCTTGCCTATTAATTAGCTCTAACTTTGCAGACCAAGTCTAAAACTCCAACAAATTCCTCCTGTAAATTGAACTATGCTGAAACAGCATCAGTTTACTAAGGTTGTCAAACTCCAAGCATGCGTCTGAATTTCACAAATTGATCTAGCTTAATTGGTTTAGCGATTATGTCTGCCACTTGATCTTCAGTTCCACAAAATACTAACCTCACAATCCCATTAGTTGACAAATTACGCAAGTAATACTACCTGACATCAATATGTTTTGTCCTTTGAAGCATAATTGAGTTCTTAGACAATTTGATTGCTGAACTACTGTCACACATGATATCAATGCACTCGCTGCTTAGAACACCTAACTCCTTCAGAATTCCCTTAAGCCAAACACCATGACATGCACTTGCAGTGGCAGCTACATATTCAGCTTCTGTAGATGATAGTGTGACAATTCCCGGCTTCCTTGAACTCCAACATATTGCTGCTCCATTTAGAAAGAAAGCATAGCCTGAAGTGCTTTTCCTGTTGTCAATATCTCGCACATAATCATTGTTTGTGTATCCAAAAAATTTACATCCTTACTCCATTTGTAATAAACTCCAACATCTAATGTGCCTTTTAAATATCTTAGTACCCTTTTAGCAATCAGCATATGTTCTTCTTTGGGATCAGCCATATAACGAGAAATCAAGCAAACCACAAACATTAAGTCGGGACGAGTTATCGTTAGGTACATTAAGCATCCTACTAGTTGTTTGTACAATGTTGTATCGACACTTTTGCTGCCTGACTTTGACAAGAATGTGCCAAGGACTATCGGATTCTTTACAGCATATTAACATTTCCAATACTTCCTTAGCATACTTCCTTTGACACAAATGAATTCCTCCTTCGTTTTGATAAACTTCAACTCCAAGGAAAAACTTCATTTTCCCCAAGTCTGTCATCTCAAACTCCTGTTGCATTGATAACTTGAAACATTTGCACATATTCTCATCATCTCTTGTGTAAATCAAATCATCAACATACAGGCAAACCAACAACAATTTTCTTCAATTTTTCTTCAAGAACAAGGTGTGATCATAATTACTTTTTTCAAATCCTTCCTTCTTAAAATAGCTCTCGATTTTGCCTAACCAAACCCTCGGTGCTTGTTTTAGGCCGCAAAGAGCTTTCCTCAGTTGATAAACCTTGTTCTCTTCTCCCTTTTTGACAAAACCTTCAGGCTGATCAACATATACCTCCTCGTTTAATTCACCGTATAGAAATGCACTTTTGACATCAAGTTGATAGATGCACCATCCACGTTGAGCTGCTACTGCCACCAGAATTCTAATTGTATCTCATCGAGCTATTGGTGCATAAACTTCATTGTAATCTACTCCAGCCTTCTGCTAGTATCCCTTAGCGACGAGTCTCGCTTTACATTTGTCTACTTTGCCTTCTTCATTTAGTTTTGTCTTAAAGACCCACTTGACACCGATTTTCTTTGCTTGATGCGGCAATGTCATAAGCTCCCATGTTTGATTTCTTTCAATAGCTTGAATTTCAAGCTTCATAGCCTCCTGCCACTTCTTTTCCTTTACTGCTTCTTCAAAGTTCACAAGATCATCATTGGAGATGTGAAAAGCAAACCCCTCATCGACCTCTTCTTCTTCAAATAGGTGTTCACCTGTTTCATAATTGCGCATCCAAACTAGCTCTCTCCTTTGTCTTGTTTGTTAAGGCAACTTTAGGGAAGATTCATCCATTTCTTGGATTTATTCTAACCTGTCATTTGCTTATTCATTTGAATCTCATTCTCCATCAGTCTCTCCTTCTTCCGATTCTTCTACAGCAATATTATCATCATCTCCCCAAGCCAACGCATCCTGCTCTGCATTTTTTGTACTTGAATTCCAACCCATTTTGCATCTTCTTAAAATATGACATCCCTACTCACAATTATCTTCTTTGTTGCTGGGATCATACAGGCGTTAGGCCTTAGATTCATGACTAACTCCAAGACACATTTAAGACTTCGATCATCAAGTCTGGTTCTCTTCTGTTTGGGAATATGGACATGTACAATTGAACCAAATACTCTGAAGTATTCCACATTTGGTTTTATGCCCGACCACTTCTCCTCAGGAACCATGTCCTTGATTGCCTTTGTGTAACTGCGATTCAGAACATGAGCTGTCCATCTAGCTGCTTCCAGCCACAACTTCTTCGGCATCTTTTTCTCAGATAAAAGACACCGTACCACGTTCATGATGGTCCGATTTCTTCTTTCTGCAACTCCGTTTTGCCGGGGAGTGTAAGCAGCTGTTAGTTGTCGCTTGATCCCATTATCTTTGCAGAACTTGTTGAATTCATTTGACGTAAATTCTCCTCCTTGATCAGTTCTGAGTCCACGTATGACTATTTTTGCTTCATTTTCAACAAGATTTTTGAAGTTTTTGAATATTGTTAAAGATCACGTGTTTATTTAAATTGTTGTCAATTAGTATTTGATTAAATCTCTTATAGTTAGGAGTTGATTTAGTTTTGATTTGATTTACAAGTTTGTTATCAGATTTTCAGCAGATTTTTAGGTAGATTTTTTAAATATCTTTTTATATTCTTCTTAGAGTCTTCTTGCTCTTCATAATATAATCAACTTATCAACCATTCAATCATTCACTCTTTCACTAACAAATTGGTATTAGAGCTATCTTCTTAAGGGATCTGTGAGATCAAAATGGAAGGAGAATCCAGTTTTTCAACTGTTGCACCACCAGTCTTCGATGGAGACAATTATCAAATGTAGGTAGTTCGTATGGAGACTTATCTGAAGGCTTTGGATATTTGGGAAGCAATAGAAGAGGATTACGAGGTCCCTCCACTTCTAGCAAATCCTACTGTAGCACAAATCAAAGTAAAGCAGCACAAGAAGACAAGAAAATCAAAGGCAAAAGTTTGCCCATTTGCACATGTATCTCAAATGATCTTTGAATAATATCCCTTAAAACAGCAAACGAAATCTGGGATTATCTCAAGGCTAAATATGAAGGAGATGAGAGGATTCGTGGAATGAAAGTCTTGAATTTGATTAGGGAATTCGAGTTGCAGAAGATGAAGGAGTCTGAGTCGGTGAAAGAGTACTCTGATAGACTTCTCAACATTGCCAACAAGGTGAGATTGCTTGGTTATGTGTTAAATGATTCCAGGATCATTGAAAAGTTGTTGGTCACCATTCCAGAGAAGTTTGAAACCACCATTACTACCCTGGAGAACACCAAAGACTTGTAAAAGATTTCTCTTACAGAGTTCTTGAATGTTGTGTTTTGATAATCGGCTAGGGAAATCCTTTCTTTTCGGTGAGAGGAAATTGTCTACGGGATTGTTGGAAGAAAAATACAATGCGTAAAATAACAAAGAGAGAGAATAGACTGAAAATTTTGACAGCGCTCAAAATCAAAATCAGGCTGTGAAATATTCTGAACAGATTTCCTATTTAAATATAACCTATCCTAAAAATGGCTGGAGAGTGGCCAACTGAATCTGTGCCACTTCCTACAAAATTTCCGTCTAAAACTTTGTTAATCCATTCGACGTGTTTGTCAAATGATCAAACGGAGAATTAATGTAATCATGTGAATCTAAATAAGGAAAAACTCAAGTTTTATCTAACATTGAACGCTTTACAAGCACAAGAGCAAAGGAGGTCTGCGAGGCAAGAAGAGATGATTGAAGGTGTCTTACCTATTAAGCATCAAGACAACCACAGGCATAAAAACACGAAAATTTTCAAAAACCAATTGACGAATGGAGATTCATCGGCCAATTATCAGAAGACAAAAGGAGGAGGTTGCAAAAAATCCTATCCACCTTGCCGCCATTGTGAGAAGAAAGGTCATCCACCATACAAGTGTTGGAGAAGACGTGACGCCAAGTACTCCAAAGCCAATCAACCTGGACATGAAGCTGTGATCTGCAAAGTCAAAGGTCAAGTGAAAGAAGTAAATACACAGGTAATTGATCAAGAAGAAGAAGATCAATTGTTTGTGGTCACTTATTTCTCAGGCAAAGAATCAAGCGAGAGCTGGTTGATTGACAGTGGGTGCACAAATCATATGACATATGACAAAGAGTTTTTTGAGGAATTAAGAGACATTGAAGTCAAGAGAGTGAGGATTAACAATGGTGATCACTTGGAAGCCAAAGGAAAAGGCACAATTGCTATAACAAGTTAAAATTTATTCTAGATGTTTTATTTGGACCTAAAATTGATCAAAATCTCTCAAGTGTTAGTCAGTTACTTGATAAAGGCTATAAAGTGTTGTTTGAGAATAAGCAGTGCTTGATCAAAGATGCTAGTGACAAAGACTTGTTCAATGTCAAAATGAGAGGAAAAAGCTTTGCTCTAAATTCGATGGAGAAAGAGCTGATGACCTTTATATCCAGAGCTAGTGCCACTAAGATTTGGCACAAAAGACTTGGGCACTTTCATCATCGAGGTTTGCTTCAGATTCAGTCAAAGAAGCTGGTAGAATGACTCGCTGACATTGATGATGACATGCCTCCTTACCGTACTTGTAATTTTGGGAAGCAAACCTAGGCAACCCTTTCCTAAATAAGCATGGAGAGCCTCGAAAAAACTACAGCTGGTTCATTCTAATCTTTGTGGTCCTCAGCGAACACTATCATTAAATGATAATCTTTATTACATTATTTATTTTGATGATCTAACAAGAATGCGTTGGATCTTCTTGCTGAAGCGAGAGACAGAAGTTGCAGGTGTATTTTGGAAATTCAAAGCCAGAGGTGAGAATGAAAGTGCATGCTTGATTCAGACTATAAGATTAGATAATGGCAAGGAGTACACTTTAGAAACTTTTAACAAGTTTTGTGAAGAGGCTGAAATTGAACATCAATTGACAGCATCATACACTCCTCAACAGAATGACGTCAGTGAAAGGAGGAATAGATTCATAATGGAGATGACAAGATGCATGCTTCATGAGAAGGATCTTCCAAAACGTTTTTGGGGAAAAGCACCAAACCCTATTGTGTGCTTGCAAAATCGAATTTCAACAAAAGCTGTGGAGGACTTAACACCATTTGAAGTTTGGTATGATTACAAACTTTCTTTAAAGTTCCTTGGAGTATTTGAGTATCTTTGCTTCATTTACATTCCACAGGTCAAGCGTGATAAGCTTGACAAAAAGGCAGATGCTGGCATCTTTGTTGGGTATAGCACTATATCCAAAGCTTACAGAGTTTTTCAACCACACACTAGTTGTGTTATTGTGAGTCGAGATGTTCAATTTGTTGGAAATGAGCAATGTAATTAGGAAGAACTGATGAAGGTGAATAAGATTTCTAATGCACCAAACAATTTAATCTTTGGTAGCATGTTAGAAGAGTCTGAAGATGAACAACTAGAAGAGTATGAAGATGAACGACAAGATGCTTTGGTTGATTGATGGACTTGTTAGAAAGATAATTGGAGTAAGATGAGTGTTCAGGAAAAAGCTTGGAGTTCGCAGCATCTAAACAAGGAGTGTTAAAGATCACGTGTTTGTTTAGATTGCTGTCAATTAGTATCTGATTAAATCTCTTAGAGCCAGGAGTTGATTTAGTTTTGATTTGATTTACAGGTTTGTTATCCAATTTTTTCTACAGATTTTTTGGTAAATTTTCTAAATATCTTTTTATATTCTATATATATAGAGCCTTCTTGCTCTTCATAGTATAATCATCTTATCAACCATTCAATCACTCACTCTTTCACTAACAAATGTTTCAAAAGCTTCTGATTTATCTGCAAGAAAATAAATCAATGTTTCGAAAGCGGAACAAATGTACTCACAACACCAAAGTTACTCAAGACATACAATGTGACACCCAAAACTTGATGATTTCAACAGTAGAAAGCATGGCATTATATAGCCTTCTTCTAAACCTAAAAATATAAACTAAACTAACAAGCCTAAAAATATTAGCAAGACCTTGAGAATAGGTCCTATGCTAAACCTAAAAATATAAGCTAAACTAACCCGCTTAAAAATATTAGCAAGACCTTGAAAATAGGTCCTAAAGAATAGGACTTGTGACAATGTACAACAATCTCCACCTTGTCATAAGATCTCCAAGTTGATAGCTGATTTGGTTGCTACCACGTCAACACACTACTCCTTCCTTTCGACGTTGATGAAATCCAAACAATGCCAGAACTTTTCACGAGCGATCACCTTCGTCAACATATCAGCAGGGTTATCAGCAGTTCCAATTTTTAATAAACGAATATCCCCTTTGCTAATAATTTCTCGAATAAAGTGAAAACGGACATCAATATGGTCTGTACGAGCATGATGGACTTGATTTTTTGACAAGCAAATAGCGCTCTGGCTATCACAAAACACATATATATGTTATTGCAAAATACCCAAGTCATTGATCAAACCATGCATCCAAATAGCTTCTTTAAAAGCTTCCGTTACTGCCATATACTCTGCTTCAATGGTAGACAATGCAACAGTAGACTGCAATGTTGAACACCAACAAACAGGTCCACCAGCCATAGTAAATAAATAACCCGTAGTAGATCGTCGCTTATCCAAATCACCAGCATAATTAGAATCCACATAACCAGCTACAAGAATGTCAAGATTAAACATTTCTTGTTTTTGAAACTTAATACCAACATCAATAGTGCCAAGAATGTACCTAAAAATCCATTTAACAGCCTGCCAATGCTCTTTACCAGGATTATGCATATAACGACTCACCATGTTTATTGCTTGTGAAAGATCAGGTCGAGTACACACCATAGCATACATCAACGCACCAACAACATTTGTATAAGGAATATTCTCCATATACCTTTTGTCATCGTCAAACTTGGACACATGGAAGCACTAAGCTTGAAATGAGGAGCAAGTGGAGTACTAATGGGTTTGGTTGAATTATTCAAACTAAATCTTGTCAATACCTTGCGTAGATATTGAAACTGAGTCAACCAGACTGTATCTTTTTTCCGATCTCGCTCTATCTCCATTCCAAGTATTTTCTTTGCATTGCTTAAGTCTTTCATTTCAAATGTTTTAGAAAGCTGATCTTTGAGCTTATTAATCTCCACCTGTCTCTTTGAAGCAATTAACATATCATCAACATATAAGAGCAAATAGATAAACGATCCATCATCGAGACACCGATAATACACACAATGGTCAAATTGACTATGAGTATACATATGCTTTACCATGAAATGATCAAATCTTTTATACCATTGGTGAGGGGATTACTTCAGCCCATACAAAGATTTCTTCAATCTGCATACTAAATGTTGTTTTCCAACTACTCGGAAACCAACCGGTTGCGCCATATATATTTCTTCTTCCAAATCTCCATGCAAAAAAAAAAAAAAAAAAAAAGTTT